CAAGAAGGACAAAGACCCAGTAAACAAATCTGGGGGCAAGGCCAAAAAGAAGAAGTGGTCCAAAGGCAAAGTTCGGGACAAGCTCAACAACCTAGTCCTGTTTGACAAAGCCACTTACTGTGTAAAGAAGTTCCCAACTATAAGCTTATAACTCCAGCTGTGGTCTCTGAGAGGCTGAAGATTCAGGGTTCTCTGGCCAGGGCAGCCCTTCAGGAGCTCCTTATTAAAGGACTTATCAAATTGGTTTCAAAGCACAGAGCTCAAGTAATTTACACAAGAAATACTTAGGGTGGAGATGCTCCAGCTGCTGGTGAAGATGCATGAACAGGTCCAGCCAACTGTACATTTGGAGAAATAAAACTTTATTAAATCAAGAAAAATTTTTCTTGTTCTTCAGCTACAACAAAAAAGGAAGAGAATTAGTCTGTATGGTAAAGATAGAACCACCAGCATTGACTGATGAATTAAATGTATAGTATGAGAGAAAAAGAGAGACAGGGGAGAGAGAGGAAGAGAAAGAACACAGGTTTATAGGTTTTAGACCTCAGTAACTGGAAAATGATATTATTTGTAAATAAGATGGGAAGACTATGGGAAGATCCAGGATTTTTTGGAAGAATCAAAAGTTCACTTTGTTGGGTTTAATATGCTGTGTAGTGTGTGTTAATGTTTAATATGCTTCAGACATCCAAGTGGAGATGTTCAGTGTGTTGTTAAATAGATGAATCTGGAGTTCAGGAGGAAGTTTGGAAGTGTTTGCTACATAGATTTCCTTCAGATTGCTGGGCCTAGTTGCTCACACCTATAATCCCAGCTATGAAGGAGGCAGAGATCTGGAGGATCTTGGTTCAAGGCCAGCCCGGGCAAAAAGTTAGCAAGAGTCCATCTCAAGCCTGCCTAGCAAGCTTGAAGCCTTGAGTTCAAACCACAGTACTGCCCAAAAAATAAAAATAAATAAAACAGTAGCAAATTCAGAAAGAAAAGAGGTCCCAAAACTGAGCTCAATCCTTGGATATTCCATCTTTAAGAAATTCAAGAGCTGAGAAGAAATCCAAAAGGAGACTTAAGAATGAGCAGGAGGAAAAGGGGGAGGGGATGGAAGTGTGGAGTGTAGGGAAGTGTGACGTCCTGGGAGCCAACCAAGGCCATGTTTCCTGGAGAGCTGTTATTGATATCACAGTGATACTATAAGTCAAGTAAGGTGAGAGCTGAAACAAGTCTGGATAATTTTATTGACCATTGGATATCAGTTATTTATATCTTTTAGGTTTCAAAATTTACTTTTCTGATTATTTCACAAGTTTTTCTGTCTCTCAGTGAGTGAAACCTGGCTTGAGAGAAGCTATGGAGTTAATTTAGAAGGCAGGTGGAGATAGGATCAGGGATGTGTTCGGAGGCCTTTTAGGCACTGTTATTGTTCTACATCTTGACCTTGTTAGTTATGATACAGGTGTTTGCTTTGTAATTATTTCTTAAACTGTACTTACATGTTTTATGTACCTTTTTTTTTTTTTTTGTATGTACCTTAAACAGGGTAAAAAAGAAAGAAAGTAGATGAGGGCTGGTAGAGTGGCTCAAGTAGTGGAACACCTGCCTAGCAAGCGTGAGGCCCTGAGTTCAAACCCCAGTTCCACAAAAAAAGATGAGTCTAAAATATAAATTAGATTTTTTATTGTTATTCACTACCTTTGAAGGTTCTGCACAAAAACATTATGCAGAATTATTTTTAGAAAGTTTAATCTCCACAAATGCTTGTATCCTAAAATGTTTTTTGTGTTTTTTCTCTAAGCCCTTGTACAATTGGAATCTATTTTAAAGAAAATCATAAAAGAACGAAAAGGAAGGAACTTCAGTCAACGTGTTTTCATTGACTCCTTAGTACAGGGAAACCTTAATGACCAACAGGTGATGTAACTATTAACTGTTTATCAATTAGAAAACAATCATGCTTGTCACTCACTTTTACCTGGATGCCTCCCAGAATTTAGTGGCTTCTCTTTTATTATGCATCATAATAAGCACAAATATTTAGTCTCCTGTGATTTAGCTTTGAAGTAGCTGTATATTATTTAATATTTGGATAAGCAAACACTGAACCAAAATTTTCTGATCATAAAAGAGAAGGACTTGTATAAGCCTTGGTGACCAAGCTGCTGTGCCCATAGGACCAGGTGTGGCAGCTGGGTTTGTTCACAGTGGTTGTCTGTTACCAACAGCACCACTGTACTTCTAGTGTTGTCAGGCCAAGGACAGGAGTGGAGTCATTGCCACACCAGTTCACTAGAGGGCTTTTTTGCCCCACTCTACACATGGTTTCCTGGGTGTGTTGGTGCAGAAATTGAATCCTGTTCTGAGAACAGTGGCAGGCAAGTCTCTACTCTTCCCAACATTTTGTTGCTGTGCTAGGCCAAGCCAGAAGAAATAAGACTGAACCATCTTGTTTGCCAAAGTATAGCATGAGCCGGTAATATTTCCAACTTATAAGTGTCTATTGCATCAAAAAGTGAAGACATAGGAAAGAAATAATATAGTTTTTTTTTCCTTTTGTTGATTCTAATTTTGTTCTTTAGGTTATTTTAGTAGAACTTAATATAAGGCGCCTTATAATCTCGTATTTTCTAAATTTAATTTTGTTTCCTAGATCCTAGAAGACAGTATGATATTTTCTCTGGCTGGTTGCATAATAACTGCAAAGCGTAAGTATACATTAATTTATTTTTCAGATGGACTACAAAATATACAAGGTTAAACCCATTCTAAAAATAAAGGAAACACTGTTTGCAAGACCTCTTCACAATTTCTCTTCCCTGCTTTTTATTCTTGTTTAACAAGCTTGATTCACACAGGTGCCTTTTTTTTTTTTTTTAATCCCAAGTGTTCAATGCCACCTCTGAAAATGGCTATAAATTTCTTGACACATTTTATGGATTGTGAATTCTAGTTAGTGCCTTGGAAATAAAATGCTCTTGACACCTCTCCAGGCAAGCAGTAAGCTTTATCATTTTCTGCTGCTGCTTTTCCCTGACTCCAAGCCAGTCTGCTGTTTTTCAGGTCTCCAGCTGAGAATGTAGGCTACAGACATCATGATTTAAAAGGACATCTCTCTCGGTGGAATTGAAGAGTTCCATTTAAAATTCTGAAACGTGTGATCTGTTTCGAAGTTTCCTTACTGGTTTTTAGATTAGTAGAGCACCGTTCATTCAGAGTATTTATAAAAATATGAAAGATAAAATGCCTACAGGAAGTATTAGGATATCAATTTAAAATCCTGAAAATTATGTTCATTTGATTTCACTTATAGCTCTTTCTGCTTTAAGGAATTATTTTAAATGATGAGTCTAAAATATAAATTAGGTTTTTTATTGTTATTCACAACCTTTGAAGGTTCTGCAAAAAAACATTAAGCAGAATTATTTTTAGAAAGTTTAATCTCCACAAATGCTTGTATCCTGAAATGTTTTTTGTGTTTTTTCTCTAAGCCCTTGTGCAATTGGAATCTATTTTTAAAGAAAATCATAAAAGAACGAAAAGGAAGGAACTTCATTCAACGTGTTTTCATTGACTTAGTACAGGGAAACCTTAATGACTTCCCACAAATTCCTTTTCTTTGACATATAGATTTGTTCAAATATTATAGATTAAGTAAAATTAATGCAAGCATGTATCAAAAATAATGTATTCAACTTTTTTAATGCTTTCCTGTTAAAAATATATTACATTAAAAACATATGTATGTTAAATACCTTTTAAAAAATCTGAATCAAGTTAGGTGTGATTATATACACACCTGTAATCTCAATGCTTGGGAAAATGAGGAAGGAGGATTGTGAATTGAAGGCTAGCCTGGGGTACATAGTGAAAGCCTATCTCAAAAACAAAAAAACAAAATAAACAACCCCTCCTCAATCTGTGTATACCATACAAATTGATCATTTCCAAGGTTGAATTAATATTTTAATTTTATTTTCAGTCTTTACGGGCGGAGGGGTTCATAGTATTACTATTTCTTTGCATGTGAGTTAGCTATTTTTTAAGGCACTGCTGAA